GAAGAAGAAGAAGAAGAAAGAAAGAAAGAAAGAAAGAAAGAAAGAAAGAAAGAAAGAAAGAAAGAAAGAAAGAAAGAAAGAAAGAAAACTAAACAATACTAACTCTGCATCAGAGTCGTTGCGATTTACACCAATAATCCCACAACTGACTTTATTACCTCCGCCAAGGGAGGAGGTAATGCTTTTGGTCACTTATGTCTGTCTGTATGTCTGTCAGTCTGTCTGTGGACAAAATTACTTAACAACTTAAGGACGGATTTTCAAGAAATTTTCACCACAAGTGGGTATTGGCCAAAGGAACACAACATTAAATTTTGGTGATGATCTAGATCACAATCCGGACACAAGAACAGCCAATCAGCTTCAAGGAAGCTGACCGTAGACTTCCAATCACATTGGATCATTTGTAGACGGGTCAACCCCCTGACTGTAGACATCCAATGGGATTGCCTGAAGCGGTGTGGAAGACCAATCACGAAGGCACATGGAAATAAAACTTTAGACCAAATTGTTTTTAAATTGAAAAACTTTCTATTTGAAGTTACTTTAAGGTAACAACAGATCATTTTCATAATACATCGGCCTGCGCGTCCTAACAGTTTTATATTTTGTGTTTACATTTTTGGAGGTTTTTCCCCCCACCTGTATCGGAAAGGTAAGCTAGGTAACTCACCACCCACATTCAGGTCTATTATCCAATAGATAATGCTAAGGTTTTCTTAAACAATTATGTTTATTCTGTTTTTTTTTTATGGCTAAATGTTTTTGTTTTTGTTTTGTTTTTTTACAGATGCTGTTCCACGCCTTTTGTTGCATGTAACTTATTACGTGTTTAGTCATTGTAAAGCACTTGTACACAAACATACATATGACTAAACGTAATAAATCACACACAAAACAAACACACACATTCACACACAAACATACGGCCTTGACAGAGGTTTGCGCTCTCCGAGTGCTTCTAGTTTTCAGACTGTATTGAGTCCAGATTTAAAAAGTGACTTCTAATTTATACATTTAAAATCTGGTGTTCTTGTCTGAAATAAAAGCCATCTTACTGTAGCCGTTTAAAAATCATAATGAAACACTCACACAAGGGCAAGAACATTAACATCTGCCTTCGCCTTTTGGTAGCAACCGATACATAGTTCATGCACAAAGTTACATGACCAAGTCCAGCCTTGAGATCTTCCATTAGGACTACTGACAAAAGAAAGGTGGGAAGAGATGCCTTTCTTCTCCTTCATGCGCTTTCCTCTTCCTCTGTGTTGTTATTCTCCCCGGGACCACTGCCATACTAAACAGCCGCTCACAGACCTTTCCTGTCTCAGAAAATGGTTCCATGTGAATGCACATCTGTCTGCAGCTAACAAGACTCCCGCTGCATGGGTGAAAGGAGATGTGGCATTGCAGGAGCAGGGAGGAGGTCAGTGGGGAGCAGGAGAGGGGCTGAGGACAGGCAAAGACAAGGGAGTTGACCTCCCACTGTGATGACCCAGGCAGCAGCCACCAGGCTGTTCACTGGTTCCAGATGTTATTTATGCTGTAGGGAAATGCACTCATCCAGTCACAGATACAAGCATGCCACCTCCRACTGCTGCCAGAGTTCCCTATTACCTCAGGTCTTACCCAACCTCTGACCCCCACAACTGCTGTTCTTCTCAGATGACTGACAGGTTTGAAACACAGCAGAAAAAAATAAAAATAAATCCCAGCAGAAGTCTCTCTTCTGTGTCTCTGTATTTTAATAACAGTAATCACATTTCAAACAATCACCATTTTTCAGTGCCAGATTAACCCAATTCCCCCATCCCACCTATATGCACTGCCTTGTTTATTTTTAGCCACTCAAAATCCCATTTCCCTGGCATTATCAGAAGATTTTCCTGGAGGCCTGACGCAATGTGGCAAGAAATGTAGTCATACTGTATGTAAAGCTTCATAGCTGGTTTGTTGTAATTTTGCATTGTTGCAAAGCTGTTGAACGATAAAAAAATGTGTTTTAGTGTTGAAGTGTTTGCCTGTATTTTAATAAACATATACAAATAAAAATAAAGGGAAAAACAAAAGCATGCACAAGCTTTTCCACCTGCTGTCTATCCACTGTGATGTCAGATCTCTGCCTGGAATGACCAGGCAATGATGTTACTGTAGATTCATGTCAATCCACTGGGATTTTAAAACCCTCTYGCATGTTTTAGACTAATCAGATTCATAAAATACAGAGTTATTGATATTTGGGATGAGGTAATGTTTTTAGTCTAGACCGACAACATCAAGCTAAAAGAGAGACTTCCTTTCAGGTCTCAGGAGTCTAATATGGAAACAGCTAATTGGTGCATTTCAATAAAGGAATAAATATGAGATAAAAATGCTAAATAGTAGTTCGTATTGAGTCATACTCTTGGCAGTCTTCCTGTTTGCAGGCTTGATATATTTATACAATAACCGTTTATTTTTCACCAATGAAATAAACACTGCAATACATAAACATGTACTGCATGGGATAGCATAAACACATTGTCTACATTATCCTGGATGTGATGGAGCATCCCCGCCCCTTCACACTTTTTCAGCAGACTTTAATTTAGATCATAGTTCCTATACCCACGTAGTTTTCATATAGAGCCATGTCACCCTCTAATTCTGCTTTTAGTTAGTTTGCATTTGTTCGGTAAACTCATTATCATGTCTTTTTTCCCTCATCAGTTTAAAACAACCAAGGATGCACATTTGGGGGGGAAACATACATTTTAAACACATTGCTGTTGCAATCAGACAGTTGCTTCCCTAATTGCATGGGATACGTTTGTAGGATGTTTTCATTTATTCTATGGTCATGTGATTTTGTTAAATGATTTTTGGGTATTAATTATTCTTTTTTGGTGGGTTGTTATTGATTGATAGAAAGTAAAACTGAAACGTTAACTTTGTATTTATTGTATGTAGAAACCAATGCATTTTGTTAGGAAGAAATGCAAAGTTGTTTATTGGGTAAAAATACGGAAATGATGTGCCTGATGGGAAGGGTTATAGAGTAGAGTTGCTACCTGTCACTGAGGAGGCTGGGTAGTAAATGACCACGAGGAGTAGAGTTAAAGTTCTAGAGTTAAATGGGTTTTTTGGGGTTTTTCAAAAGACTTGTAAGGAAGACAAGTGTTTTTACTTCGTGAAAAATAAGAATAAAATCAGATGAGCAGAAATTTTCCTGACTTGCCAGTGGAATTTTGAATTGTATTTGGCAATGCTGGCCTGAAGAAGAACCCCGTGACACTGGATTTTAGTTTTTAAATTAACATTTTCTGTCAAACATCCATCCAGCTATTATCTTTGCCGCTTCGACCTTTCAGGTTCATAGGTGCCCGTATCCAGCAGTCACTGTTGGAGGGGCAGGTTACACCCTGGACAGGTCACAAATCATCACAGAGCCACATAGAGACAAACGACCATTCACCTCTCATTCAGATCTAAGGACAATTTAGAGTTACCGGTTAGCCTACTATGTATGTTTGTAGCCTGTGGGAGGAAGCTGGAGTACCCAGATCCATGCATGCACCGAGAGAACATGCAAACTTTACCTAGAAAGGTGCCCAAGCCGGAATTCGATTTGGTGAGCTTCTTACTGAGAGGAAACAGCTCTACCAACTAAGCTGCAATGCCACCTTTCTGTCAATCATATCTTTAAAAAATGAATGTTTTAGGTGGATCTGTGCAGACTGAACAAATGCAGAGTTTGAGAAACATTTACATAGGCTGTGTCCAAAATGGTTCTCTGAAGGACCCGGCTTTCCTGGTCTAGGTGGGCCGGGTCCTCGGTAGACCGTGAAGACTGGACAAAAAGTGTCAGTGAATTTGGTTTTGGACGGCCTCCATTGCGGCACTGTGACGCTGACAAATTCAGCCTTC